ATTCTGTGATTCTATGAAACCACAGCATTATGTACTTCAAGAAATATGAATGGAAGACATGATTGTAGCAGACACGTTCTATATATGTGTTATTTTGCTATAACAAGAATATATTTATTTTACCTATATGTATGTAACGACAACCCATGAGGCGTCTGACACTGCAACACAACAATGATGCTGGGGAAGCGTCACAATCTCCAATTCCCTAAGAAGAGGTGCTATGACAGTGAGAAGGAAGAGGAGGGAGGGAGGACATTGACCTTGACAAGATATACAACATGAGCCCCCTCCCCAACTCCCGCTGTACAGTATTCCCAAATACAGCTCCCAGGGACAGCTACTGCCAGCTGAGTGCACATGGATGCTGCATCCCTCCCTTACACAATCCATGCCTCTGACACCTTGCTCCTTCTACCATGATCCTACCCACTGAATGGAATGGCTCTGCTGGCACTGCCAGCCACACACTGCCAATGCACTTTTTTTCTCCTTAAAGCCAGAGTCATTTTTATTTTAGCAATCCCAATCCTTCTCAGAGTAAATCCAGGAATACAATTACGTTTTCTTTTCCTGTTTCCAAACATACAGCTGTCTGATTAGAATCAATTCCAGATGCCAACCCCTTTCTGAAATGTTACTGTTTTCTGCTGCAGAATTTTAAGCTATTATTATATTTTCAGTGTAAGAACAAAAATTCATCCGGCACAAACTGTGTAATCCAAGAGGGCTCTGCCCGCTGGCTCCACCGACAGAGTAGAGATACCTGAGGTATAGGTAAGGCAAGTGCTTGTGGACTCAGGAGATGAAACCCAAGTTGCCAGTTCAGAGCACACAGCGAGCAACAAAATGCACTTTACAGAGCTGTTTCAGACGTTCAAACAATATAAAACGCTCCTTTATTTGTGAAGCAAAGTTGCAGTGTACTTAGGAAGTGGTATTTTTATATTCAGTCCTCCTACCCACGAGACAATCTCCTATTATCCCAGAGAAATGTCGGTATTTCCCCTGGAGTTTAATCAAAGAGCGTTTCACAGCAGTATCAGAGAGGACAGATGCTTAACGCCAATCTCGCTGCCAACGAGATTTCTAGAAAGGCCTTGAAATACCCAAAAGGCAAAGATTAAGACTTTATCGTGACCCAATTTCCTGCGCGTTTTAGATAAATTACTCGAGTAAAAGATCATTCTGTTTAGAGGGAGTTGTCTTTTAAGTTACTAATTATTTTGATTCTTTCTTTGTTAAACAACAAAACCAAACCTAATCTCCCCCCAGTCACCTAGAAGATTTCCTCCAGGCTGAGGCTGTTACCAAGTTCCAGCCCAGAGAACTCAAAAGTCATGTCAAATTGGAAAGCAGCTTTGTAAATACTTGAAAACCAAATTGAATCTTAGTTTCTGAATCCTCCTGCATTAATGCATTTACTGGAGCAAACTAAATAATTAAAAGCTACTGCAGATTCACTGGTCTTGGTGTCAATCCACCTTCCTGCCTGCTATGTACACATTTCCAGACCATGGATGATAAAAATGCTGGATAGTGGCAGAACTAGAACAAGCCCTTACAAAAATCCTGCTATAAATCCAGCTGTTCTCATACCCCACTGACTTCAGAAGCCAATTATGTAGCGCTAGATCCACCACCATGCATTTTCTTTCTACCAATGATAGATTTCAATGGTTTAGATCAATAATTAATAATAGTAATTTCATGGTGCATAAACCAACAGATTCTGAACAGGCCACACTCTATACCACAGTAAAACCAAATGCAAGCACTAACAGTGATGAGGAAGAGCACTGTAAATGAAAAACACCTTTACTAACTGTGAAGAGACATACAATTTTAGGTGAAATTAAAATTAATTCTAGACATTCTTCCTGTTCAAACTTATTCTCCTTTGTCCACTGTGAAGAGGGAGCATCCTATCCTGCAGGAACCTAACGCACACGCTGACGTTTAAGCCAGCCATTACCCACTTACCAGGACACTTACACATATACAGCAACATATAGGTGCTTTTGCTGCTGGAAAACAAGCTGTCTGGATTTCAGCTGTTATGGATTTTTATTCAACACAGAAGTGTGAGTTAAAAAGTCACAGAAGAGAAGGGAAGGCCCCATTTCATATCAAACCCTAGAATAGAGGACATGCAGCCATCCCCTGCAGTTTTAGAGGTTGCTGTGTGGTCTGTTGCTGAGCACGTCTCATCACAGTGTTCTCTGTCGCTCATGGCCAACGCAGAACCACCCTGATTTTCACACTGCTTTACCAGCTGTTGCCTGATAGCACTCCACTTGCTTTCAAATGAGAAAAACACCAGTATTTCTGAGATCCAGACATAGTAGGAGTCTGAGCTGGCATTCCGGAGCTGCAAATCCCACGTCCCATTCCACAGTAACTGTAGCTGACCTCCATCCTGCGCAACGCTTTCCCTCTCAGCAAATCTCCAAACAGGCTCAGTAACAAACTGTTTCCCCAGCACTCACCAACGAAGAACAAACCCTCAAATCTACAAACTCAAATCCAGCTCTGAAAGTCATGTCGCATCTAGAGACTGAACACAGCAACACTAATATAGCTGGGGTTTCTCTTTATATTAAGGTCAGTGCAGAGCAGTTCGAGGGGAGTGTCTGGAACATAAATTCACAATACAAACTGGGATTGATGATGATTTAAAACGGTGTTAGCACTGTTTTCTGAAAGGGAAGTGAGGAGATACAGTACAAGATCCTTGAGTCTACAGTGTCACCAAGTGACAGGGAACCAGCCAAAGAGAAGGTGACAGAGTCTCAGACAGCAGCGCCTTAACCTCGTGGCTTTGTCTTTGGTTCTTCTATTATAAAAACAAACCCCAAAGCGTGTCCATGTATCATGTAAGAGGGGCATTCCAACTTCCTTGCACCCCTGGACAGCATTTGCTGAAGCTGTCTGTAAATGAAATACCAGCTGAAGATCTAAGCCGATTAAGGCTATTTGAGGTCACTGAGCTAGATGAAAGCACATCAGCTTCCCAGCATCACTTCCTGTAAACATGCCTCAGCACGCCCTAAAGAATCCAACAATCCCACAGCCTCGATCTACTGAAAGCTGTCTACTTTTTTCCCAAATAAAAGACACCCCAGATATCAAATTAACAGACGTGTTGAAGAGTCTAGCTGAACACTGCTCTCTGAGAAACTCTTGCACTTGACACTATTCAAACAGGGATGACCCACACTACAAAACTCATAGACTATCCAAGCTCCCGGCCCCCTCCAAAAATGAATTCAAGTACCAAATACCAATGATCACTACCTCAAATTATTCCCTTCCTAGACCTTGGGAGGGCAGAGGCAAGGCTTGTGGTTTTCGTTGTATGTAAGAGTCAGTTTTAGACCTCTGCAAGACGCTAAAGGTGAAGAATAGTCAAGGTATTTTCGTTCACAGAGCACAAGGGGATTTCATGGTCCACACACGGAAAAACCCTGGAAGTGTCTGTATCAGATCGGCATGACGGCTAGAAGTCCGCAGAGTCCAGTCTCAATGACTGTAGTACAGAGAATAAAGACAGGTTGATAGAAATGATCTAGAATTCACTGAGAACAGAAAGGCAAAGCAGTTTCACAACTGGAACATCAGTTCTGTAAAATAAGTACTTGTTCTATAAAATAAAGAAATATAACAGCATAAACCCCTCTTTGGTCACCTAAGTCTGGCTGGTTGGGTACTAGTGCCCTCCAGACAGTTAAACACGATACATCACAACGTTTTCACTGCTACGTCACAAACATGCTAACAACTATTTGCTAATTCTGACAGTTGGCCAGACTGGGAGTGTTATTATTCCAACACAGAGCAAGTAGTTCCACCAGAGCTGAAAGGAGTTTTTCCAGAAATCACTCACGTTGATACAATGCCTGAATCAGACATGAAACCCTTTTCTGGGCAGGCAATCCAAAAAATTTATATTTAGCATATTCCCAAACACAAGAGTTATTCCCATTTCTCATGTTTACATACCTAAATGGAAGATAAGGTGGATTAGATCCAGACAAAAGTGTTCTGTAAGCTTCTTCTGGTGTTTTCTTCAAGTATATTACCTAAAAGGGGTGGGGGGAGAGAAAAAAAATATGTAAGCCCTGAGCCCCAAAGTCGTTAACCACATATATGTGTCCCCAGCCTACAGAACTCTTCCCAGTATATACAGTACTCCTTTATGAACACCTCCTGGGACACTAGCTCGGGAAAGAGACACCTACACAAAGTAAAAGCTTGACACAGCATCTGGGAATTCTGCTTTGTGTCATTCCCCCCCTTTAACAGCAAAAAAAAAAAAATATATTAAAAGGTCATATATTGCTGCAACTGAGAGACTTTAAGGCAGACTCAGCATCGCGCTAAGAGGGACAAACGGTGCCTGTGCCAGGAGTTTCCTGTCCAACTTTCGATCGGTCAAAGTATTTTCACAGCAGCCGACAAAGGAACCGTTTCTCCACCACAGCTCCACGAAAGATTTTCCAACACAAACATTTTTTGATTCCTAATTGTCAGTATCAAACTACTAATTACCAAAGACATCCGAGTCAACAAGCTGAACCTGTTACTATGAGACCAACACAGTTGGTGCAACACCCTGAGCCAAGGCTCGTGCTGCTCTCGCTGAACACTGCCAGCTCAGCTTAAAGAAATTAGAATCCAACCACATCTTGTTGCATTCCCATTCCTACCGGTACGGTAAAACTGGTCCTAAAATAAATATCACTTGGAATCAACTACCACCTATTCCACTGCTTTGAACTGGTCTAATTTTGGACCACAACCCTCTACGCAAACTGTTTGCTGTCAGAAGATCAGTTCCCTGGCCCAGAGCTGTATTCAAGCCTGTGCCCCTTGAGGTCCCGCCTACGGCGTGGATCAGTGTAACCAGCACGCCAAGAGGAACAAACCACCTTCCCTGGACTGTTAAACCTCAGCACTGCAGAAGTGCCACTACTGCCCTTTCGCTCAGCAGGTGCCCAAATGACATGTTTCTCAAAACTGATGTCCCTGTATTTGCCAGAACTTCCACATCCCCCCTCCTTCACCTCTCCAAGCAAAGGTTTCCTGAAACCTTCCACTGCCAAACCAGACCCCAATCTCTAAAGGAAAACCATTCCATTTATTCTGGGTTACCAGAATGATTGTTTCTAACTTAATTATTAGAGTCTTTGCAGTTGGGGTCCAACCAGCAACACCTCACACTGAAACAGATTCCAAGGTTTACTTATGGCATGGATGTATTTAATTCGGGAAGTGGAGGACCCCACTTCTCCTTATTTTTAAGCAGTAGCCATCTGTGTACAGCATGGATAGCTAACTATCAGCACCAGCCTCAAGCTTTCAACCCCTTCAGCACAGCAGTGCCATTGCTTCAACCCTCATGTAAACGATCCTTCGTCGGTGAAAGACGGCTCCTCTACATTCCTGCAGTGTCCCCCCCACCACACAGGTTTGGCATTTAAGAACTACGCATCCTGTGCGATTGATGTCGGTGAGGGATGCATTTCAGAGAAAAATACTGATTTTATTCATCTCAATTAATGTCAATAATCATGTCAATTATCTCACATCCCTGCTTATAGTCAAAAGCTCCCTAGAGGCTAGTTCAGAGGACTCCGGGGAAGAGGAGTTTCCTTCTTACAGAGCAGGGAGCAGAAATCTGAAGCAGGAGCAAAGTTGCACTGTGTGAATGTTCTCCCTGTGCTGCCATTCTTATTTCACAGGCGTTGCGGCACTTCGAAACTGTCTCTGCTCAGACACATGCGTAACATTCTGAACAAACCACTGCCGGTTGTCTGTCCGTTACGCTCACAAAAGCTCGTAACAAAGACACCAGGATGGAAATAGGAAAAAGATGTTAACAGAGGAAGGAAGAGGGGGAAGAAACACTGAACAGAGCTCCTAAGAACAGAGGGTATTGCAGATGTCAAGGAGAACGAATCCCTGGAGGAGGAAGGATAATGAAATGGAGAGGAAACACTCCAGTACATGTCTTTAGTACTGAAAAAGTAGTGATACCCATTAAGAAAACCCAGGAGACCCTTTTCTGACTCATCTTTTTCAATGAAATCCCAGTGACTGAAATTTATTCAGTCACTGCTTAATTTTTTCATCTAACACAGTGAACTTCAGAGTGTTTCATTCAGCAACATATACAAGTTAAAAAACCAAACCACAACACAAAGAGCCTGCAGTGAACAGTTGTATCAACTGAACCTGTATCTAAGACATAATGCAAGTAAAAGCCTTAAAAAAGACACTTTCCAGAGAGCAACTGTTCTCCTACAAGAGTTGTTTCACGAGGGACAAGGTTCTCCTCCCCTCCCACTGTCAGTGCTCTGGCTCACATCATGGGGCAGTGCTTCCTGTAAAGCCCTCATAAGCAAGTATGCAACACCTTCTATTTCCTCTGACATTCCCGTTTTCATGTTCCCAAGTCCATGAGTAATTGTGTGGTTCAAAGACAAAGCCCTCCACAGCCACGGCGCTGCAGGCACCTGACAGCACCAGCCACAGACACTGCCAAAATCATTCCTACCACATCCTAAAGAGTTTACCGAACAAAAAGGGAATTTGTATTCTGCCAGTCCACCTTAACACTCATCCGCAGTATTTCATATCTGGACTCATCTTGTTCCCACCCTGCCATTCCCGAATTAGGAGAATGTGGAAAAACCCCCCTCGGAGCTGCCGAGTTATCCCAAAGACCCTGTGAAGCCAACGCTGCGGTAACCGAAAAGCCCTTGTACTGGCTGACCCACCACGGGAGGGATTATGGATTTGTGCAGCAGCGCGATATGCTGAGATTACAAGAGAACAAACCCTTAAAGCTTTGGGCAGGGCTGAGAAGCCTACCTTATGTTTTTAAATTAGGGAGAGAACTCTCCTGCAAGAACAGGGCTGGACACACCGTAGTTGTTTGCTGTTGCTCCTCGTTTGCTGTGATACAAACTTCAGACCCCGTCAGCTTTTCCCCTCACTGGCATTACACAAACCTGGTGAGAGCTACTGCTACCAAAACACAGCTGTCTATGAGGAAAGAGAGTCACTGGGTCTCTTCCCAGAGTTTGTCGTGGTACAAAAGCAGGATATTTCACCAGGCTGCCAAAAGGCAGGTTCTGATTCACCCATCAAGTCTGATCTTTGAAGAACTGCAAGAGGTTCTACTCTTGCAAGACAAGTAGGTTCAACTACTTGTCTGCTACCAGGGTGGTTCTAAAGCTCCGTGTTTGCCAGGAGGAGCAGGTGCCGTACATGTGTGAACTGTCCTCGCCCTGCCTGCTGCTCTGCAAGCACAAGAGCAGTCACCACACGGACCGGTACCCCCTGTGGAACTCAGCCCCTACTCATCCACGTGGGGTCCTTGGTTTCCACCCAGAAAAGAAACAAATACCCTGTGAAGGAGGGACCCAGCCCCCAGTCCACCAAATGTTATCAGGCAGGAGAAAATGCACTCTCCTCCACCATTTCTCCAAGAATTAATCCCTTCATGACAGGGAGGGAGCTCATGTAATCACTCCAGTGTAATTCGGTTAAACCCGCCCCCTGCCCGCTCAGACAGAAACCACTAGGGACAAATTGACTCAAGCCAGGCTACTTTAGTTCTGCTATGCATGAGAGTACTTGTCATACTATTTTAAAGCTATTTTTAAAGGTTATTTTTTAACTAGCTATTGTGGAAGATGTCTGCATGTGCTGCGTAAGAGAACCTTCACAATTAACACAAGTCTCCAAACAGAGGAAGGGAAAGCACAGCAATCCTAGCTTCAAAATGCCCCCCACAGCTGGTAAGGCTGCACAAAACCTGGTGGCACCCTGTTCCTGCCACCACTGAACGTGTCTCGACCCTCAGGAGGAGCCCTGAACCCTGCTGTGAGATCAGACGGCTGCATGTCCTTCTCTTCATCTGAATTCTCTAACAGAGGTAATCTTTGCAGGACTCCAGAGCAAGGACAACAGTTTAGCAACTGGACATGGTCAGTCCACTGTAAGACCCGAAATTCCAAAAACATCTTCCTGAGATGCCATTTACAAACGGGCAACCCACTGCGAATAAAGTTAAGACTTAACTTTTGCTTAAACTTGTGACTCATTAAAGTGTTTCAACAGCTGTAGGGTGTTTCAGCAGCAGTCTAATGGAACAATCTGAGTTGCATAATCCACTGGAAACCCATTCCTAGAACCTGATCCACTGTTTTCCATGTTTCATTTTACACTTAATATTTTAACACCAGGACAAACAAAGCAAGCCTTCCCAATTAACTTGCATACATCGGCAGAGTTCAGAGCTGTAAGACTTTCTGGTCTCAAAACGCCTGTATAACCAGAGTACACCTGTTTCTGTCACAAGGTGGATATTCGAACTGTAACAGACCAAACTGCCAATTACACAGTTTTTTACTGAAGAATACAATTCGATTCCTTCATGCTGGGAACGGCCCTATCATGTAACCCAGGAGCACACACCTACCGCATCACTGAACGCAGCATTTACAGGCAAAGTACTCAAAGGCAAATACTATTCCTTGAGTGTGAAAGGATTATGCCTGGATTATAAAAGCTTAGCTTCTGCTTTTTTATTAAAAAATCAAATTATTAGGTAAATTGCCCGACCTAGTAAGTTCTGCCATGCACCTCACATAGCTCCTCACCTTCCTGTCCCTACAGCCTGGCGCTGGGAGAAGTTCCCTTCACGGAAAGTAGTGCTCTCCTTGGGCCTACCTAATACTGAGAAGAGAAGGGCCTTTTAACCCCTTAGCCACAGGACAGGTACTTAGCTGGGATAGTCGTATAACAAGGGCTGGACAAGGGGAATACAAAGATAATCTCATCCCCTTCAAAATGCCAGTGTCTTACCCCTTCCAAGGCTTCTAAGATGCATTGGAAGGTGAAGGCAGGATCAGACAAGGGCAAGCCAGCAAAGGCAATTAGATGCTGTAATCTATGTGTGCCAGATGAGTGTTCTCTAGCCAGAGGCTTAACCAGACCAGCTTTGAAACACAAAGTAAATACAGAACTGAAGATAGAATGATGCAAACAGAAAGCAGTTGCATGGAATGACTGAAGTCTCTTTACAAACTACAGTGTGGGAATCATGACTGCAAGTGCTACCACTCAGATTTTGGATCTGAAGGGACAGGAAAGCTTATAAAGATGTACTGACAGATGTGGAGGCTCCTTAAACAGAACATAAAAATGAATCCCGGCATTACTAGCTATAGCCTCGCACTGTCAAAAACATGATCAAAATTAACCATTCTAACTCATTTGTTCTGACTATTCCTTTAGCAGCATTCCATCAGGTCTACACCCAAGGGTTAGAAATCTCACCCGAAGACTTTCAAAATTTGAACCTATCCACAGCTTCATTTCCATCTTTCAACTGAATAGATCTTCTTTCTTAAGAGCATCTACTCATTTGCTCTGACTATTCCTTTAGCAGCATTGTTCCATCAGGTCTACACCCAAGGGTTAGAAATCTCACCCGAAGACTTTCAAAATTTGAACCTATCCACAGCTTCATTTCCATCTTTCAACTGAATAGATCTTCTTTCTTAAGAGCATCTACACACTGTCCTCATCCTTGTAGGAAAGCATTGTGCTTAGTTACGGGAATCTGCAACCTGAATTCTTTCAATATTATCATCTGCATTTCTGGAGCTTGGCTTTCAGCACAACATCAGGCCTGGAAGAACTAAACCAGCTTCCACACAGTATCAAGCCTGACTGTCAGGAAGAAATTCTTCACAGAGAGGGGAGTGAGGAACTGGAACAGGTTGCCCAGAGATGTTGTGGATGCCCCATCCCTGGATGGCTTCAAGGCCAGGCTGAATGTGGCTTTGAGCAACCTGGTCTAGTGCAAGGTGTCCCTGCCCATGGCAGGGGGGTTGGAACTAGATGATCTTTAAGGTCCCTTCCAACCCTAACCATTCTATGATTCTATGATTAATAGAGACTTCCAGAACTCGGCTGACCATGTGGATGCCGGCTCAGGACCAGCAGCTTGACAGTTTCAATACTTGATAGGCATAAAACATGCAACCACATGTGTGCTCCGATTCTGGAGAGCACGGCAGGAAGGCGAAACTGAAGTTTGAGCTCTGCTGCTGTGAAGAAACACAAAGGGCTGTGCAAGTGTCAGCTTGGAACCATCAACGCTTACGTGACAGCATAACAAATGAGCCTTGTGTAACTAGGACAGCTCTGTGCCATGTGTATTGTCTGTGACATCAGAAGGCTGAAGTACCTCCATTTTCCCATTATTCTGGGTAAGCTTGAAAATTAACTGACAGCAGAAATCCAGCCAGTAATCACTCTGCCTCTGGTCTAGGAACTTTAACAAAGGCTATCAGGAAAAGTTTTTTTCCCCCCCAGAACAAACCTCCCTACTGCCAGGAGCAGGAACTGATCCTAAGACAGCCAAGCTGAGAGGGAAGTTTGTGGTTTGCATTTCTGATGTTCAAGAAAATGGTATCCTATGGGAGGCCTGCACATGATCCACCAAACCCACTCTCTGTGCAAAGCAACTGGAGTTAAGTGCCACAGACACTCCTGCAGCAGGGTTTTCAAAGGCAGCTTAGAGAAGAATCATGACAATCTGCCTGCCCAGCTCCCTAAGGACCATGCCCCAAGATGCCTTTTTACACAGAGCAGATGTCTCCTAAGGAAGTTCAGAAGTATCCATGTGATAAGGAATACTTACAGCGTAGGCACCTATTAAAAATGCCGCATTTGCTCGTTTCTGCTGGTCAAAACCGGTATAGTACACTATCTTCTTTCTTGATAGACTGAAATACTGTTAAAAAACATAAGACACCATATTTACTGAAAGAATCATACACTTGAAAAATACTTTAAAAAGTCACTTTTCTACAACTGAAAAATAAGTCAGAAAAAATTCTTACAGAGATCTTAAAATTAAAGGAGAAAAAGTTACTAATGCCATGAACAATCTTCTTACCCTACAGTTAAGAGGGCAGGGAAACAGCCACTGTTTCAGGGCCAATCTTAGTTTGCTGTGCAAACATATCCTACAAAATGCAGTTGAACCAAAATGTTCAATATACAATACTGGATTTTTTCCCCAAGCTAAACTATTGTTCAAATATTTATGAACATTGATTAAAACCATTGCCATTTTCAGACTAAAACACCCTCCTGTATGTTAAATCTCTTTAGCACATAATCCTGTGGAGACAAGGGAAAACCTGAAGCAATCGATCTTACAGGAATTTTGTAAGTTAAACACCACCCTTCCATCCATCCATAGCACCTAAAGACGGGCAACAGACATCTTCAACAGCAAGAATTTACATAGATCAAAAGAGACTGCACAGCTGAAAGCCTGGAAAAAGGCTACGCAGAGACAAAAGCAGTAACACTTGGAATTACTCTTTCTTTAGGGAGAAAAGAAGCCTCTGTCAGAACCTCTGGGCAAAACTCCCATTGAAAACAAGTCCAGCAAGCACCAGAAAAGAACAATGAGAATCTGCAGCAGAACCACTTAAAGCCAGAGATAAAACTGTCACTTAAAAACAGCAGGTCGGGCAGATCATTGCATTACTGGTGTTTTAGCTTCAGGGACTGCGGTGCTGTCACTGTGTTCTGCAGCACAGGGAAAACTCACCTTCTCCTTACAGGTTCTTAGAGTAACACTACGGTTTGTCAGCAACACACACACACAGGATGCTGCTTCGATATTTGAAGACCATTTCTGTTTTAAGAAGTAGGCATATTTTACAACCTGCCGTTAGAGCAGTGCTGCTGTTACCCGACTTCAGGTTTTTCGCTCAAGTTGGACAATATGAATTTCCTTTCTTTTCCTACTCTGGGCACTGATGACACCTTGGGGTGGGAGATCAGGTACTGCTGCAGTTGTCTTCTATTAATTTAACTAGTGCCAACTCTGTTTCACTCCTAGAAAACTGTGATGTGAACGTCAACTCTCATCTAAAACCCTGTTGTAAGCTGTAGGACAGCTTTAACCACAGAATCAGGTTTTGCAAAAAAAAAAAAACCAACTAGCTGATGCAGTCGGGAGGAAATGGGTGCATATGTCCGGGAGCCGCTTACTCCCACCCCCAGAAACAGCCCGTTGACCAGCAGCTCTAGCTGTACATTCCGGTGTGGTCTCACGACCCACAGCTCCTGTAGGAAGGGCAAGAGTTACTGGGCTGAGTGCAGCTAACCAGGCCTACGATTCCCGAGACACCGGGATGCTGCTGACTAGAGGAGGTGGTACCTTGAGACCAACCGCTGCATCTCCCTCAGTGTATGTGCAAACACACAAAGCACAGGTACTTATTTAATTAGTGAAGCTTTCAATTATTATTAAAACTTGACAAAATTAATCTTGGTATTTTAAGATCCCTCCTTCCTTCCCCCTCCTCAATTTTTTAATTTTAGTGTTCGCTAACTGCAATTCCACCCATGATGTGTAGGTGGGACAAGATCACAGTGGTTACGCAACAGTGACAGAACCTCAATTATAACTTGTTGATTGCTACTTATTTTAAAGCAAAGTTCTTTGCAACAGTTCACCTGAAATACTAATTTAAACTGCAAAAGCCCATCCTGCTAGCCAGACACGAGTCCTATGTAACAAGAGCATATTTCTTGTTTAATTTTACAGAATGGAATTTTTAGTCCTATGGGGACGTCAGGTTGCTCCAATTTTGAGATGCTCTTGTACCTGAAGTAGCCAAAAAGCGACAGTTCACCTTAAAATTCCCAGAATATTTAAATGAAAGCAGTATCATTGTCATTGCTTCATTTTCCAAAAGAAAAGCTTTAATCCTTGTGAGCCACATTCCTATACACAGTACTTCAGTGTTTTGTGAACCCCGAGGAAGGCTTTAACGGCAAACTGAAAACTGAAGTTAACAAACGGCTCATAGCACAGCAACCAGGGGAAACCTGCACCCTCTGAAGGATTTCACCCTTGAGAGGCCTATGAGAAACCAGTTTTATTTGCACACGAGTTACAGAAGCCCAGGTTTACAGCAGCGTGTGCTGAATTGCCAGCACGATGACCCTTCACCTGAACACACAAATTCCCAGCTCGGTACGCTTGCAGTGCCAGTGCTGAGCTGTATCACCTCTGTTTGAAAATACTGATTCCCTGACCTTGTTTAACAAGCTCCGGCTCTTCCTTCAGCTGGGTTCAAAGACAAGTGCTAAAGACAGGTCTTTAAGATGACTGTACAGCTCCAGAGCTCCACCTCGATGGATGAGGCTCTAGCTCCCCTAGATGCTACAAGACTCGGCAGAACTAACAGCTTTTCCACACGAAATGTTTCAGTACAGAAGGGCCATAGTCACACAGAACAGTCACAGGCAGTTTTTTTCCTAAACCAACACTAAGGTGTGCACTAGGAAGCACTAAAGACATTAACCAGTAAGAAAACGTCAACAGTTTCACAGACCGTTGAGGACAAAATGAAACATTCTAACAGAGCGGTCAGTATCCATCCAGGTATATCCCAGAGGAACATGCTCAATCTCTTTGGTTTAGGTGGCAAAACTGATGGATGGGGTGTCTGAGAGGGTTCCAGGACACGTTATTTTCACTGTACAGTTGCCTTTTTTTTTCTAGTAATAGATCAGTTCTTGTTTCTTAAACACCTCCAGAGAGATGTACTTGCACAGCAACTGACAGGCTTGGAAGGTGCCATTTGGACAATTCCTCAATCGAAACCTGTTTAGAACCACCAGATTATTTGACAGTTTTTATTTAACAGATACGGTCTAAGATACTTTCATTGCTCAAGTAAGAAACAACTGCAGTGCATTTAATATGCCTGGATCAACACAAATACTATTTTTTTTTTTACACACACACAAGTATCGATAGCAACGTGTACGTGCAAACAGCAGAGAGCACACGGCTGGCAAACCGTTCCGAGAAAGTGATGTATTACAGCACGCACACACAACCCGCCTCCAGACCTAAGCTGTCCTAACGGAGATGCTTGCAATTACTGCAGTTTCACAGGCATGCCCAGCAGCTCATTTAGATTAACCCAAACCAAACCCCTCTGTGACTGTGCAGCGATACAGTTAGCATACAAGAAACATCGATGCCATAGTTCACCATCCTGCCAGACCCTTCCCTCTCCTGCCTCCGGCCTTCGTGCTCGTATCGTTTACCTCAGCAGCGTTCCCTCCCCAGCCAGCTCTGCTGATGAATTCAGCGACACCGTGCGAGGCCATGCACGTGGAACACAGCAGGGCTTTAAGCAGTTTTATAAAAACAGACTTACTTAAACAGAAGAAAGAAATCTTTCTTTTGTAAATGAGTCCCAGCTGCTTAGTCAAACACCTCTTCCCCAAGCAACTGAAGAACACGTGGGAAGATAGGACAGCCAAGCAGTTTTCCTCGCTCTTGGCTTGGCTAGTCAGAATCATCCCCATAACAATCAGCAAATCAGCCATTACAAACAGAAGGTCGGAAAGGATCCCCTGCAAAGCATAACCAGGACTTTGCCTCCAACTTCCTCAGCAAACGAGTAGCTGAACCAGTTCTTCAGCACAGAACTATTTACTGGTTTTAAAATCAGTCAGCACGAAGCCATGACAGTTTAACACACCGGTCTGCCATCAGCACGTGGTACGCTGGTACCTTCTCCTTCCCCACCGCCTCCCCCAAAACAGAGAGGAAAGCGGAAAACTGCCTCCAGGACGAATTCCCTTCCCAAAGCAGAAACAGAGCTGAAAGACTTGGAGGGAAGTTTTGCGGGGTTTGTTTTAATGAGACCCTGTGCTCTCACGTCTCCTGTTCCTCTGCACAGATGCTTTAAACATAATAAAAGTCTGTCTTAAATCCCTTCCAAGACACCATATCCACCCAAACTACCATGCTTTGTGATTTTTTTTTTTTTGTGCCACACCTCTTTAAAAGACTTTTTTGTAGGAGAAGTACACGAGGTGCATACCCAGCCAGGAACACACCAAACCATGGCAGGAACCCTCTGGGCTTAAGCTCTGTGATGCCTCAAGGGCCCAAAAGCATTCCAGCATGGCAACAGCAGCCATCCCACAGCAGAGGCTGGATTTCCAGAGGGGGATCATCTTCAGTGCCTTTTGTTTCCTACAATCAACCAACTCCTGGGGTTGGTCACAGGTCATGGTCACCCTTAACGCAAGGGCACACAGGAGCAGGCTGCCCACCAGGACCCTGTCTCCGTGTCGTCAATCCAATCCACACTTCCCACCTCCAGAACAGCAATGATGGGCTGGCTCCATGTCACCAGTGTCACATCAGGACTGCCCTGCTTTGCTGCTGCAGCTGCTCACTGCATCAATGCCCTGTGGGCAGGCAAGTCACGGGTCATGAATCTTCCACACCAGTTCAGGCTGCGGGAACCCTCTCGGGGCACTTGTGAAGGACAGAGGTGTGGGGCAGCAGGCCAGAAACTGGGAACCCATAACTCTCGACAGTGAAGCTAAGCAGTAGCCTCCTGTAGCCAGGCTGGCAGTACAATGCACTGGGACTCAGTGCTGCAAGCTACCTCGTTTGGGCTGGGCAATGTTCTGCCTAACAGTCGATACAGCACCATGAGTTGGATTTAGTACAAGAGTAACATTGGTAACACACTGATGGTTTTAGAACAAGCACTAAGACTACCTAGCAACAACTAAGTCAAGGACTTTCCAGCTTCCCATGCTCTGCTGGTAGGGAGGGGCACAGCTGGGACAGCTCACACAGACTGGCCAAAGGGACATTCTCTACCACACGCATCATGCTCCGTATACAAAACTGGAGATGGCCAGGGGTAGGAATTGCTGCTCAGGGACAAGCTATTGGTCAGCAGGAGGTGAGCGTTTGTTGTGCATCACTTGTTTTTGTATATTCCTTTATCAGCAATATTATTTCCTTTTCCTTTGCTGCCCTATTGAACTGTTTGTATCTCAACCCATGAGGGGCTTCTCTGACCCTCTCCCCCATCAGGGGATATCCCATCAGGGGGAGAGGGGAGGCAAGCGAGTGGCTGTGTGGTGCTTAGTTGGCAGCTGGGGCCAAATCATGACAAAGAGCAAAGCGTACAGGTACTGGCCTACACCAGGGGCGGCACCAGTGAGCCAGACCAGAAACTATCCATGGGCACACTTCTGTACCACCCAGGCATTGTCCTAAGCTTGAGCTGTTCCATTTCAGGTATTGCTTTCATGTGTTGCACTATCAAGTTACCCTTCTCTCTGCTGCACTAGCAGGTTAAATTAACGAATTGGCAAGGCAGCAGCACCACACAGCACCTCCTCCCAGCTCAGACTGCACAAGACCTCCCTGCCCACCTGCACTCTTCACCTAGCACTGTGCGCGTTTCCTTCGTTTGAGAAATATAACAGTTGCATTAAAGTGACATCAGGGCTTGCTAAATCCTGCCAACGTCAGTGTTACCAATGCAGTTCCATCTGGCTCCCTTGTGTATTTTTTCCATTCTAATACACGATCTTTATATCATCACGATTACAAGCCATGTACAACGAGCAGCTCTCCTCATTCGGTGCAGATGATGGTCTTTTAACAAGACTGACGACTAGAGACATTCCTGTTTGATATTGAATCATTTAAAAAAATGTCCCGAGGTATTTATTAGTCATGTTCTTATTTTCTGGACAACACTCTTGGCACCCAGGGTCCAGTTTGAAGTCATTCTAGTTTAACTGTAACAGCGTGACTGTACACTTCAACAGCGACACAGGAGACCACCCAGATCCCAAACTGACTAGAGCTTCAATGAGAGTCCGGAAAAGACAGAGCTCCCCTCCCACATGCTCACAGGCACAGCGGTGGTTCTCTGGAGTAACTGCTTCACACAGCAAGCATTCGCCACAGTCTTTAATAGCTCAAAAAGAAGGGCACAAACACAGAATTAAAGTAACAAAAGATTCCTAGTGAAGGAGCATCATTGCTCATGTGTTTCCAGTGCCCCTGTCCCATTCAAAATAGGGAGATAGTGAATTTATAAGCTCTGTTCAGTGTTAACACACCTGGCACCCCTACCGGGTGTTTTGTTTCTGGCCACAGTCAACCCGCATCAGGCTTGTGGGTTTGTGACAAGACAGTGTTGGCACAAAACTCAGTCATGGTGACCTTCAGAACTGCCTTTACGAAGCAAGGACCAACACTCCACAGTCAAAAGAAAAAGTTACTGCTGTATCCAAAGCAGCTGGAAAACTCTGACCTCTCTAGTGAGGAGCAACTCAGGATTGCCTTGCCCCAACAATCATTATATGGAAGCAGGGAAATAAGAAAGCTTCTACAAACTGACTGACAGGGAGCGATGCTTGGACAAGACAGACAGAAAAAGGAACAATTTTTATATGTGTAAAAACACATTTCCATAACACTTCAGAAGCAACGTTTTATTAAATCCAGTAAGATTTAGAAGTTTTAATTCTTCTACTGAGTGAGATTTAGTTTAAATAGGGCTGCATGTTGTTCTCTCTCATGGGTGTGGGCTTTTTTGTTTGCTTGGGGTTTGTTTTAATATCTGTTTTGTCAATTATTCATACTAACATACCCACTTCATTAGCTGCAAACCCAAGAAACATCCAGAGTGGCTTTTGTTACTGTTGCCCTGAAACTGCAAGGTTATGAAAAAAGGTGAACTCACCCTTCAGTGCCACCTGCTAAGCATCAACGAGAGCAAATTCCTTTTCTCCATTCTTCAGAAAAGAACTGGTCATAAAGAATAACATTAAAGCTCAGCAGCAACCATCTAGGTAATGAGCAGGTGCTCGAACGCTTTCCAGCTGGATAATACACTTCAGTTGAATTTCAAGCCAACAATACAGCAGTGTTGCCTTTAACTAAAGCTTACCTTTAATTTCTTGTTCAGTTTACAGCAGTATCTGTATAACATTGCCAAATTTAAAGGGCCAAAGTCTCCGTAGAAACTGAGAGAAAAAGAACAACAACAGTGTTACTTATACAGAAGAGCTAAGCAAATGTCAACATGCAGGGTGTCAATAGTTAAGGCTGCAAATCAGTAACTTTTGGGGATCCCAAGTAGCCAGGATATACACTGCAACAGATAAACTGCTTGAGTCACTGAAGAGGGGGATAATAACAATTCATTTGAAAGCATTTGCAGCTTCAGTTGAAGACACTCCATTAGACGCACACACAGACTACAGAACTTTCTTCATCCCACCATACCCAGCCTGGTTTTGGCCAAAACTACAAAGCAAAGAACTTCAAGAGCTGATCTACTGCCCTTTATGCCATGCTGATATCCTAGATAACGATTCCACAACCGCTTAAGATGAGAATGTATCATTAGATATTACGAAGAATAAGCTGACCAGTATTGCATCCAGGTAGCAAGGTTTATTTAACAGTGTTCAGTCTTGATCTCTGTCTAAAATTTAAGCTTACTTCTTTTCATCCCATTCTCCACTGTTCCAGAGATACCTGCTCCTGCTGACCTTGTAGTGAACTTGCTTTCAGCTCGTGGGTCGGATTAGACCATCTCTAGAGACACCTTCCCAGCTTCAGCCATTCTGCTATTCCAAGTGGACACAAGGAAGCAGGAGTGCCCTATCTTCTTGCTGCTTATAACTCCATTAATATCCTCCTCCCCACATTCTCTCACGCAAGAAAGCCAAGCCCAGTGCAGTCAGAGACAACCGTATCAGCCTGATCACTGTCTGGAACGAGCAGCCAGGCTGCCTGCCACCCCAGTGCTATTTCAGCATCATCTACTTACAGCACCAAACAGGAGTGTTAGGAGTCAGTCCAACCCTTCAGTGCAAAGTATTGTGACATAAGGCTGAACTACAGCGGCTCAGTGCTGGGTCAAACACTAAGCTGCCCAACTCTTCAGGCTTTAGTCACCGGTCACGCTGAAGCAAACCAACGCAAGGGAACATTGCGGCGGCAGTAAAACAAGGTTTAACATCAGAATTCCTCAGCCTTTCTCAGGTAAGTCTGCCAGGTAAGGTCAACAGTCATTTAAAACAACCCCTCCAACATTTTGTAATAGAGATGAAACAAAATGTAGTTCTGAGAAGAACGGTTATGAGAAATAAGAGGTGAAATTTGAGCTCTAGCACTGGCGTGAATGCAGCCTCAGGGAAAGCTATACAGAAGCCTTACCAACCTCCCTGCCCTTTCTGCTGCACTAAGACCTGCCCTAAATGGGAAGCCAACCCCACCTGCCTCCGTTAGCTTTATTCTTTCACCTAATCATATAACAGAAGAGTAGAATTCAGGATTCTAAGACTATTTTGTGAAAGATACCTTTGAAAGCGCTGTGAAGAAGTGTGGAATATGAGTTATGGAACACTTTTTAAAGCAGTGTGAGCAAAGTAGCTTTGATCAGCTCAAAGATGTAATTGCATACACAGTTCGTCTAAAGCATTGTACAACTACACACATGCTTTAGGATAATACGTTTTTATTACTATTCATTTGCTAAAGTACATAGATGTGAAGTCATTATCCACTTCTACATTTCCACATGATTAAATTCAAAACGGGAGCGTAGAAAAAGCACATCAAAATTAATTTACAGATCAATTTAGCCACTGATGTTAATTACTATTTTGGTGCTGAGAAGGATAATACAAGTTTGAGTCTACCCATGAAAAAATTATCTTTTTACAAAATAAAGCTATCCAGATTCCCTCAGCTGCCAAGCCAAAGATGTCACAAGCCCAGACTCTCTCTCCATCACTTTTTTGCATTGAGCATGCCATGCTTCTCAACACGGAGGGGAGAGGTGAGTATCAGTGTTTCAGACTCTGGTACCACCACAGCTGATGTTGCAGAAACAAGGTGTTTCTCAGAACTCAAACGTGACTATGAAGGCAAGGCACTTCCGGTCATGCTGCACCAGCACTGTTACCCGGCAGCAAACACCTCAGTTCAAGTTATTTACCCAACGCCGTGTGGGCAGTGGAAGACAGTGCAAGGCTCTGTACCAAAGTCAACAACTCTGATCTGCACAGTCCTTCAGCCGATGCCCTTGGAACCAAACACAGTTTAACATGTTTAAACAGAAGGGCACCCTTATCACTTTTAATATCACTGGACATGTAGGTACTTGAATTAGAGACACTCCATCCTGACTCACAGAGAGGATTTCCTTCTGCAGGACAGAATTTTGACAGTGTTATGTAAGTGGAAGATGGGAAACGGACTGCGAGGAACAATACAGCAAGTCACCATCCAACTAAAGAATTGTAACTGGCAAGAGTTGAAAATACAAACTGTAACAGAAATCAAATCTCATTACATGAGTCACTAACGACAATCGACCCAGTATTATTTTACTTACATCTCTTTTACAGGTAGCAGACTTCCTTTGAGTGCGGATGTTTTAATCAGCATTCACATGCAGTAAGGGATCAGGATGCCTCTGAAGCTTAAGCCAGTTAAGCGAGACAGTCAGTGACAATGGAGGTGGGAGCCAGATGTAAGGAACAGAAGGCAAGTGCTATTAATCTACACTTAATTATATTTTGTTTTAACAAGTACTTAGATGATAGCTTAAATTATTCTTCCCCCTCATCCCATGGAAATTTGCTATCCTTGTGCTTCTCAAACTAAGAAGTAGCAAACCCCCCAAAATATACTAGATGAATATTTAAATACCCACACAACGTTACCTGGAAGCGGTAGCACAGGTTTCTTGTCTCTATTCTCCTTAGAGCAGACTCCTACAACCACTTCTTCCCATCAGTTCTCACAGCATAGTATCTGAGGCATCTGCTGTTCTGTATCACAGGAACGGTCACTCCCCTCAAGAGGCCAGCCCACAGAGCCCACTCTGTCACACAAGCAGTTATTGCACATCCTTCCAGGGAATTTTACAACAAAAGAAACGTGGTCCAGAAGTTTTTAGGACAGCAACTCAAGTTGCTTCTGACTGCAGTTCCATGGGGAACCATGTGAAGATGCCAGGAGTCAGCCCAAGCCTTGGGCACTTCTGAATGCTGAAGTCACTTTTGGTAAGCCATTGGATACCGCTGACCCCAGTACAGCATTCCTCCCTACCCTGAACTGCTGAATGGAGCTGGCCATGCTCAGTGAGGGAACACTATAGCCTGGCAGCCTCTGAAACGAATCAATAGCCTCCTTATTCACATCACAGTCTATTTACGACCAAGGTATGAAGTCATCTTCCAAAGATAAACTGCACTACTTATACTTTACCCCAGAAGGAGCACCCCAAGTTTATAGTTACTCAAGCCAAAAACTTTGACCACAGGAACTCAAAGAACTAGCAGAAATACAGCTTCCTAACTGCAAGATTACACTGATTTTTCAACATTTTACAGAGATCCAGCTTGCTATTAAAATTAAGCAATGAGAGAATGTGAATGAGAAGAACATTCTCCACTTGCTTTTCTCTCCCCTTTTCCTCGGCTGGCTTAGTGGAACACTCAGGGCACTGCACTGCGAGGCCCTTGCTGCACGTGCTCTGGATCCAGCCATTAAGCAGTACAAGACCCAGCTATCGCAGAAGTGATCACCTGGCTACTACAGGTAAATGCTTCAAGTCATAAGCCAAACACATCTCGCATGAAGCAGTTTCCAGATGAAAGGCAGGAGGCTCAGCCCACACACCCACTACAACTGCTGGTCAGGAAACCTTACTTTTCGGTCTTCTTTCTGCAGCTCCCGTTTCGTAGAGTGTGTTCCTCCTTCCGACTTCACCAGCACATATACAAGGGTGGGACGCAACAACACTGCCTCCCTACTCCAGCCCCGCAGATTCCAGTAACACATGAATTGCCAGGAGCTCTCTTACCTGGGCTGAGATACAACCCCCAACACTTAATACTACTTAGGGACTGCATGCTCCTGAACAGACGAAGGATGACACAGCAAATATAACCCCAGAAATGATATATCACCTCAAGGCTGGCATCTGAACGTAGGAATAATGCGGAGGCTCTGGAGTATGCAAAACACCAGGTACTCACCCCATTTCCCCTTGAATGGCCCAGATCTCAAGATCCTGATTCTTCAAAATCCAACAGGAACTCAGATCCAAATCACAGATCATTAAATAGCTGTTCAGGTATACGCCTTCTTGATAAATGCTCCTTGACATCAAGAACAAAGCATCCATGAACTTCTCCCATAAAAGGTTTCCTTATAGAAGAATCTTCAGGTCATGTTAAAAACCTACTTTCTGTGGAAAAAAGTCATCTTAACAGAGGCCACGTTTCTCGTAAGGGGCTTCCTGTATCGAGCTACACTCCCATCCAATACAAAACTGGAGCCTAGAAAACAGACCTGTTTTATCCTGGTATGCATTTACTGCAAACCAACCAACCAAGAAATCCTCAATACTTTTGGCAATTGCTTTTACCTTTTCCATATGAGAAAGTGGAGAGACGTGGCAAAGCAACGTGTGGGTATAAAATCTATGAAACGGTTGGGCTGGCGAGAACACCCCAGTGTCAAGGGAGAGCACTTTACAACATTCAGATAGAGAGCTGTCAGCAGTTTGTGTCAAAGGAAGAGCAGACCCTTCCAGTTCTTAGATCTTATTAAATTCACTGCAAACAAGAAAATAAAAACTCTCATTTTAAGATTGGAAACACAATAAAGCTGGAGTACTATTCTTAATACTAGGAAGAATTAGTTGTGCAAATGCTGGTATTGGAATATGAAGTTGTTGTGCTTCGTATTTACAGAAATTGGGAAGTTTCCTCTTTTGTTGACTTCAGGTTACCATGTTATCTTGGTCATTCGATAGTCAAGTTCAAGTATTCAAAGGCTATTGATGTGAACAAGGAGCTCTCTGTTCTGTGTGAAGCAACAGCTCTGTTGTAACGACACAAAGTTGAAGTTTTCTTTTTCCTTTCAAATGATAGAAGCCACAGAGTCATGGAGAGGTTCAGGTTTCCTACGCGAGTTACTGGATAGCCACAGACACACAGCATTTAGCCAAAGGTAAAATAAACAAGTTAACCCCTACTCTGCTCACAGGAAAGAGAAACTGCGTCTCTGCATGTACATGCGCAGTGAAAGAACCAAGTCCAAACAGCACTCATTTCACAGTGCTGTAGCTAAGCATCTGAGAGTCTTATTCTACTGCTGGAACACAAAGAAGCAGACAACATTAAAAATGCTGTGAAACAGGCAAGTAACATACCATGGCCTGAAAGATTTCACATAAAACATGGGATGTACAGAGAATAGCATACTAATCACTTGTATGGCTGCTCACAAGATGTCAGAGATCAGATCTGTAAAATCTGTTCATACAAGAGATCCGACATCAGAACAAGTCATAATGGTTTTATTCAGTCATTTATGAAAGCTGCTATTATAATGATCAGTAAATGATTCCAGTTTCTAATTATCTAAATTTTAGTTTTGACAAAACTACTCACCAACAAAAAGGACATAAGAAGTCGCTTTGATAAAACATGTGAAAACCAAGTTGACCAGTCCAGTGCAGCCCAGATCTGTTTATGAAAGGTGAAACATGAAAGACACTATTCTTAGAGAATAAAAAGCCTCTTACTAGCGCCTAACTCATTAAACGAGGTCTCGCCACGGCAAGGCTTGTCTATTTGCCAAATGACTGTCTTCATCAAGCTGGATTATTTGTCATTAACTCCATTTTCCTGAAGGAATAGCTACCTGCACCACATTACCCTGACAGACTGTACTCCCTTGCAAGCAGCAGTGCAGACTTTCTCAGGAGGGACCTCAGAGTTTCAGAGGGAGACTGACAAAGTCCTACAGGAACAGAACATCAAAAAAAGAGTTCAGAATTGGGTAAATTCATTCAGATTTCTTGTTCCCCCAGCTAAGGGATTCACATACCATTTCCCTGGCATAACAAGCTCAAGGTTAAATTGCAGCACATCAGCTAAAACAGCTCCTTGTCAGCTAGCATTTGAGAGCCTCCTAACAGCGTTTAAGCCTCTCTATTATTTTTAACAGTGTGAACGTTTAAGTAAGTGAATGAATTCATTCAGCGTTATGAATTCATTAGGGCCGTCGACAACTTCAAGTGCAAACTGAAGGCTCAAGTGCTCAAGATTACATAACCACGCTTTGTGTACAATTTCAGGACAGGTCACGTGACACACTGCAAGAGCAAGTCAGCATTTATCAGACCAAACTTCCAAAGCCGTTAGATCCAGCACTGCAGGGGCTTTGTTTAGGGAATGGGGTACACTACTGTACACTACTGCTTCCCGATGTCTCTTCAGGAGCAGGGGGGCAGGGAAGTGATGCAGCGAGATTAAGTACCATGTGATGCAATAACATGACCTCTGTAATCAGACAACCTCAAGCCTACACATTCACGTGGTTCTCAGATCAAATACTGCTTCAACGAGAGTAAACTGACAGCTCGAAGTCAGCTAAGGGAGCTCCGGTAACACTGCGTGCTGAAGAGCCATCACTGAAGTTAGATGAACAGCCCAAAGCTGTTCACTGCCTGGCACAGCGAGGAGGCCTTGTCTCCTCACTAGAGCCATGCAGCTGAAAACACTAAGTCAACAAACAGGCATATTAACAAAAAAGTTGCTGAGGATGTGGTGCTTGAGTGGGCATCTCCTATCCCTGTAACAACCTCAACTACTCATCTGATGAAAAACCAGAAGCATCCACGAAACTCTGACAGCCAAGCCAACACAGGCAGCCCATTCTGAACAAAGCCCCTGGAAACCAGTTCTGAGCCAGAGCACTTCAGAACATGCTCCCGGATCTTTAGTCTGCTATCACATAACCAGTATTCTTAACCACTACTTCAGAAAGAAGGATAAATCTCTGAGAAAGCGAGCACAAGATCTGGAGTATCGGAGTTACGCTCTGCAACCACTTACAGACATCCCCTGTGCAGCCCGTAACGTATCGGGCTGATGCCAAGCTCAGTGCTGAACACGGGGAACGGGGTGCTATGATAAAATTGGTATTTCCCCAAGAACCAAGAGATTTGCCTTCTATTAATTTTGCTTCTAGCCTTCCACTTCCAGAAAGACATTTAAAAAATACATGAAACGGTAACCCTACTGCCACCTGCTTTTCCTTCCCTGAGACAATACAAATGTCCCTGGAGATAAGAGGGGAAAAAAGAAAAACCAAAACCAACATCAGGCATGTTTTACTACTAATAGTGCATACACTGATAGCGATGGGTGCTGCAATACAAATATCAGGGGAAATCTAGTACTGTTAGGTGAAGAGTTCTGTTATCACACAGAAATCATTTGCACCACCTGGTCACCATCACTTCATTTCTACCTCCTGCTTTGTTTTAGTACTCCGTCTGAGAGCACAAGAGGGAGAGCACTGTAACGGTATCAAAAAGAGGATGATACCTTTAAAAAAGGCCAGACAGATTAGAAACTATCCATTGAGAAAATACACCACAAGTTAGATGTCCAAAATCTTTAGAAGTGCCCTAGAAGGCAAAGGGAACTGCTTCCTTCCAGGAGCCTGCCCGTTGTGCTGCTATCGAGGCACACCCTGGTACATGGTTCACAGGTAGTTGGTTAAGTCGTACACTTCCTGAATTCACTACGTACATATTGTAAATACTGCTTTTTTCCCCCCTCGAATCTCTCAGTACTGTTTTTTTAATATGACGCTAGTACTGTTTTTTTAATATGACGCTGTCCCCACCCAAAACACCCCAGTTACAGCACTTGGTTAGCAGTCGTCTGCAACTGATGAAGTACCCAACTGCTCCCCCGTCCCACCACCCCCAAGATGAAATCCCACACATGATTCCTTTACCCTTCCTCGAAGCTTATTAAGAGTTAGAAACCAAACACCTCAGGTCAAGCATAACACAGCCATCCTCCAAGCTGTTCTTTCATGAAAGAAAGTAGAACATACGCATGTAACACAAATGGCTCAGAACCCTCTCCAGCTGAATCCGACTTTTACTATCCAGTCAACCTTGCCTTAGGGTACTCCTGAGGCCCCTTCCAACTCAAAGGAGTTAAGATCATTACCAAACCTACTCCCAACCCAAGCAGTTAATTACAGGAGTCAGCTTTGGGAACGGAGCACTGGGGAATCCAGCAGCAGACACGCAGCCAAAGATAACGAAGGCTTAAAAATATGTCAAAAAGAAACCCTAGAACTGCAAGACGTGCACAGGAAGTAAGCTGAACACCAACGCTGGCTCGCACCGCCACAGGAGCACTACTCAAGTCACCAGGGAGGGAAGGCAGAATGGCTGATGCTCACGTGTTCTTCGACTGGTATGGAAACAGTTGTATTTTAAGACAGACTGTGGGTTTTGTTACACTCGTGTTGCAGCAAACACCCCACTCCCTCCCTACAACACCCACCCCACACAGCCCCCCCCGGGCTAGGGAGACCTAACACCCAGGACCAGGGAGATCAGCACACATGAAACAGTCTGTCTGGGAACACAGTGCAGAGCAACTACTTTAACCACAGCAGAGTGACCGTTTAGGGTATTCTATGTCATTTAATACAATTCACAACTACAATCAATTTTACTGTTGCCCTTCTGCGTGCTGTGTCTTCCAAACACAGAAAATACTTTTTCTTCTGTTGCAAAGCTACAAAATCCACCAGGAAGCACGATCTCAAAGCCTTCTGCACACTGACAAGGAAAGTTGCAGATATTCTTCAAAAGCACATTTCAGCTTTGCATCCTTACAGTTCTGTATAAAAGGCGATCACTTCATACAGGACAATACGTATACACAAACTACCATTCCATCCGACCATACCAAACAGCAGCCTTCTATTTAAAACACCATTTAATAGGGTGTAATTAGTCTTAAGAGATCTTCTCCACCTTATAGACAAATCTTACAAAGCCCAGACATCCTTCCCCCAGCTCAACCACAATTTCAGCCATGTAACTGCTCGTGTTGCTGTTTTAAAGAAACAGAGGAACAGCTATCTTGTGTTACCAGCTTCACCTCATGTATATTCCAGCTGACTTGGTTCTCGTGCTTTGGGCAGGGAGCTAAACGGGGCAAAAACATTCTATGTAGTACCGAGGCGTGTTGGGAAGGATCCCGGGCCATCACTTGGAATATACGAGCCACGAGGGACCACGACACTTACTTCTCGTACACCAGCTCCTCGTCGGTGCAGAAGTAATGGGTGTTGGCAGTGCTCTTCGGCTTGTTCCGTAAAGTAGCGAAGTACAGCCGGTCTGCAAGGCAGAGGGCAGTGGCGTAGGACGGGCAGAGCTGCGCCGCGCCGGTCACCCCGCGGTCCCCTCACCCCCC